ATATATATTAAATACAAAATGCAAATAAWTTACAAGCAGTTAATTATTTTTTGTTTGTCTTGAATGCAAAATAAAGCAATCCATGCGCCCCATCTTTTCTGAAGACCCTCAAGGAAAGTGCTTTTTTCTCTTGGTATTTTCTGCTCATATTAAACATTAAACTTGATCATTCCATGCAGTTGCTTTTTAAATTTGAAATATTCAATCTATAATTTTTGCAAGAGAAGAAGTTTAAATTTACTATCATATCAAACAGAAAATTCATGCCAAAATTATTATTATTTTTTTTTTTAATATATCGCAAATATTCGCATACGAAAATATCGTGCCGTTATTAAAGTACCAATATTCGATTCATCGATATGTTACCAATATTGCATATATTATTCTTTTTTGTAGATCATTCACGCACGTACTTATGCAACGCATCTATACACATACGCACTCACATGCATATGTAAAGTATTTGTGTATATCCATATATACGAATGTGTGTAAATTAGAAAATCTGATCGACAACTGTGATGCATTCTTTTGTGCACAGTGGGAACGGGTCTGGTGGGCGTGGTCGTCTAAACAAAGCAGTTGTGTGCTGCGCATAACTCAAAATTTAATTGCGCGCACTGCCAGCTGCTGGAGCTTATTAACTGTGACTTTATTACTGTGTACACATGTATGCGTGCGTGTGTGTTTAAGTGCATATGCATTTGTGTTCGAAAGAATGAATGTACTTTGTTGTAAGAAAAGCTGCGCAAAATATTTCTCCCCCATCCCGTAGCTAATTTCATATACTTTCATCTAAGTACCGTTGCGGGTGCATATGTGTATGTGTGTGTGCGATTAAAAAGCAGACTTTGGAAATACTGTAAAACAAATAAAGTAAATAGTGTGGAACGCAAATCTGTTGCGACTTTTGATAAGAACAGCAGACATATGTATACATATACGTGCACATATATGCATACACATGGATTGTATATGGGTGTCTGAGCAATAATCGTATAAGACTTAATGCAGAAATCTTCGAAAAACTGTTTTTATCTCGACTGAGATGACTTGAGCAACAGCGCTAACCGCAGTTACGGATGAAGCGATGATGCAGAGTGCAATTAAACCAGTTTAACGGCACATACACAAACACAAGCACACACATAGATCCACACATACACACACGTACAGCTGTTAGGGAACTGAAGGCAGCCGAAGGAGGGCAAAATGCCGTTTTAAACTTTCGCGCAAGCCGGCATGCTGCTCAATGTTGCCTGGCATAAATCTAAACAAACCAACAAAAAAGGGTTAAAAAAACTAAAATAACAAAAAATGTATATGTATATAAGCAGCAGCAGCAGCAAACGGAAAACTTGTTTTTGCTCAGCTTTTGTAAGAGTGCGTCAAGTGGTGTGCCACTGTTTGTATGTGTGGGGGTACAAAGGCAAAGAGCAAACCAGCAAAAACAAACAAATTTGGGTGAAATTTTACTTTCGTTGTCGTTGCTGCCGTATTGGGGCGTCAGCAAGCTGTTTCGTGCTCGCTTCCGCACAAAGCGGAACGGGGGGAACGGAATTGATGAGCGATGCCGTTGCCTGCACCAGAACCAAAAGCAACTACAACGACAGCAACATTTTTCTTGGTCTCTCGCTATCTCTTGCACTGCTGCTGCTGCTACTGCTGTTGCTGTAGGCAATTATTTTATTTTTTTTTTTTTACAAATTATTGTAGTTCTCATAGGTCATTCATTTCACTTACACATTGTGGGAGATTTTTTTTTTTTCTTTTTAACGTTGATAATTGGTTGGCGCTTGACTCGGCTGCAATCTTAACTGCACTTTACACTTTTTATTTTAATTTATTTCACGTTTTGGTAATGTGTACAGTGCAAGCAACTATTATGTACTGTTAATTTTGCTCTATTTAGTTGCTATTTTTATTTATTGATGAGGAAAATGAAAATGATAATGTTTGGCTTTGGCCCGAAACACGAAACAGAATCCAAGAGACAAGCGAAAGTATCGATGCCACGATAACGACGACAATGCTGCCAGATCACAGTTTCCAAGTGTGAAATGTATCGATACATCGATATATGAAATCGCAATTAATTGGTATATTTTGCAGCTTCCTGCTGCCTGTTGTTGCTTTGTCGCGTTGTTGTTGCTGCCTGCGCTGACTGAATTGTGAGCAGGTCGCGAATTTTGAAATCGCTCCATTCACGCTGCTCGCAAACGGGGGGAAAAAAGCAGCGAAAAAAAAAAAAATAATAATAATAATAAAATAAAACCATAACACATACATATCTACTCATATGTATATTCCTAACGTGCATGCCAAATAACGAATCTCGATCAAGTGTTGGTCCGAGGCTCTGCCAAGATGAGCGCCAATAGCAACGACAACTTATGCGAGGACATCTCATTGTTAAAGTCCTACATAGAATATTTTGATGTGCTGCCGTTGGAGCTTAGGAACGACATCATCTACTGCCAACGAGCATTGCGCGACTTTCTCAAAGTGCACGGGGTGAGTAACAGCAAAAATCTGAAAATCAAGCAAGCAAAAAAAACGAGAGTAGAAGAAATGAAGACCATGAATATGTAAAGCAACCTGTGTGACGACCGTTGGTTAACTTCCACTTCTATTCTGTTCCGTTCCGATATCTTCTCAATTCCCACTCCATGCTGGATGGATTGCAGCTGGTGTCCGATGTGTTCAAGGAGCAGGCCGATGCGGTGAGTAGMCCAATTCCATAACTGTCCTGCATTACGCATACCATCTATTATTTATATATCTATATGTGTATGTATGTATTGTCTGTATGTATGCGATTATGTATATGTGTGTATGTATATTTTCTTTGTTTGGAGTAACATAATAAATAATGTGCAATGAAAGCCAATAAATGATATCGCATATATAGAGAGACAGTGTTGCCACCTTTAATTAGTCCACACATCGCACTTGTCCAAGTAGCTCCCGTAACCCAAATGCTTCTGCTACTGTTGCTGGTGCTGCTGGCCTATGCTGATTTCTTAAATTATTTACGATTTGGCAATGCACCGTTTCACTCCATTAGAGATGGGTGCGTGTCAAGAGCACTGAAATAATTATTGCTTAGATATGTTCATTGCGTGCACACATACATAGATATGTGACATGTATGTATGTATGTATTTAGTGGGAGTTGTTTATTTGTATTCCCTATATTATGTATGTATACATATACATATATACATATATATCTGTTGCATGCAAAAATGTAGAATGTGTATATCCCCGATATTTGCTGATCGTTAAATAAACAAAAACGTTCTATGAAAATTTATGCACAAAGCGGAGCAGGAAGAAGCAGCAGAATCTGCTGTCGCTTAAAGTGCGCAACGGAATGTCAGTACATACATATGTACCATATATATATATGTATGTGCATATGTGCGTGTGTCGCTATGCGTGTGTATGTATATACATATGTATGTATATACATATAATGAAGTAAGATTATATACACATATTTATGTACCTATGCATACATACATATGTACATATGTATGTAAATATGTCAAGGCTGATACCCTGTATAAAACCTTTTATTTAAAGCTCCTTTTTTATTTGCATACAATTATTTTTCATACGACATTTGCGTAATTCGCATCGTTTCTCTACTAATTTGTTTGTCGTGAAAGAAGAATTTGAGGCACGTGCGACGACACGACACACGACATTCAACTCTGTTTTTTTCCCCCTTCGTTGTTGTTGTTGTTGTTGTTTTATGTCACTTAGTCATAACCATGATGATGATGATGATTGTCCAATAATTTGTTGTATTAAATAACCGCATTTTGCAGGATCCGGTGCAGATGCGGCGCATCCTCGACGAGCTGGAGTCGGAAGTATACGAGATAAACGCTGAGCAACAATGGCTGATGATGCGCCTGGAAAAGCAGCTAGAGTCGCTATACAAAAAGCTGGCGGCGAACAATATACGAATTTTACCTGACCTAGGCAACGAGTACATCTCCAGCCTGATTGTGCCTTTCGTTGGCGATACCAACTACAAAATCTATCCGAAATCTGTGCTGTGTCGCGACACCGAAGAGATGCTTATACGAAAGCATTTYCTCATCTCGCACGACGACGACGGTGGCATTGAGCCGCTCAAGCTTAGCGAACTGGACGACAATGTGCCGCTGTTGCTGGTGAATGCACTGACTGCCACGCCTACTGCCAAGCCCACTGCCACCATCACTGCCCCAGACATCGTCCAGGCCTCGACCAGCAGCGGAGCGCAGATGCTGGTTGAGAAGAACGATTTGGGCGATAACATGATGAGGGCAACGTCATCGCTGTCGCCAGCGCCAGCGGAGCTCCAGCCTGAGTTGTCGCCTGCGCTGACCAAAAAGGACGAATCGCGTTCGCTGCTGATACCGCGTACCGTCCAAACATCCGATGATCAGCCTGAGAAGTTCGCAGGGTCAGCGTCGTCATTGACGCCGCCACCGCCACCTCCGCCCCCACCCCCGCCGCTGGTGGCCGCCAAGCAGCGGGCGTCCCGAGCAGATGCCAAGCAGGCGAACAAAACGACCTCACCGCCGCCCCTGGCGCCCATCACCAAGCCACCAATCGGCACTGACTTCGAGGTTGTGGCTCAGAGTAGAATGAATTTGCGCCAGGCGCTGCGCCGCGCTCGCAAGACCAAACAACAACCGCGACAGATCGACGAGGAGGATGTCGTTGTGCTGCCCGTAGACAAGGTGACGACGGAGAGCACCCCGGCAGCCAGCGTCGCGGCGTCCAAAGCGAAGGTGGGCAAAGCGATAGAAATAACTGCTACCCCAGTTGTCCTGGCCACAGTACACGCAACGACGAATAAGAAGTCAGCGCCATCGGCGTCCAGTAAACAGTATAAGACGCGCAATGCGCACGGGGTTGGACGTAAGCCGACGTCGAATCCACCAGCAGCGCAAGTGGCCGCACAGCAGGCGGCAGCTGCAGCAGCAGCAGCAGCGGCAGCAACAACGGCAACAACAGCAGCAGCAACAGCAGCCGCTGCAGCGGCAGCAACTGCGGGCTCGTCCGGCTCTTCTGATGACTCGCATCACGAACTGGAGCTGGAGCAACAGCGTCTGTGCGCCTCGGCGGCACAGTGGCGCGATGAGCCGCGTGAGACCCGGGTCCTGCCCTCAGAATACGGGCGGGAGCATTTCCTTGGCCTCTTCGGGCTCTACACACACGAGATGGTCAAGAAGCTGTGCCAGCGCCACTCGAAGCGCAAACGTCGAACCGTTCAGAATGCCAGCGGCGTTGTCTTTCACTATGGCCAGCAGCTGGCCGCCTTCGATACGGTGCGTCAGAAGAAACTAAAGGATAAGCCGGAGTTTCTGCTGTCGCCCAAGGATAAGCGACTTCAGGCCAAAAAGGCCCACAAGGCCAACGCGGCAGCCGCGGCGGCTACCAATCGGAAGAGCAAGAGTAAAACGCCCGAAAAGCTGGAAGACGTGGGCAGCAGTCAGCCGGACGTCGGCAAACAGAAATGCAAGGAATGCAAGAAACGAGGTGGTAAGTCCAAATCTCAAAGTATGGACGTCCTCTATGCTCGTAAGCTGTTCATGATGCATTACCATATAGAACTTGCATGGGATTAATCTATTCTTCTAATATACTTTTGTGTAGAAAATCTGCAGAGCTGTCAGAGCTGCCATGGGGTTTATCATATGGATTGTCACGAGGATGCCAAAGGAAAGCCGCAGTCGAGCAATCGCTGTCCGCAGTGCTTGCGTGACTGGAACTTGACGGGCAGGATAAAGGTAGCGGCTTCGTCCTAGTGCTAAGATTTGTTGCTTTTGCTCCACTGTGAGCATTCTGGCCTTTTGTTGTACAATGTAACCTGACCGTTGAATCCTAAAATATGTCTGTACATATA